CCTCAAGAGCGCACCCAAGTACAGGAACTGATAACGGCGAAGGGCGCCACCTTTTCTAACTTACCTGGGTATACTCCACTAGCCACTCACAGAGTAGAAACCCCGGGACAGCTTCCCATGCAACAGACCCCATATCGGATTCCCGAATCCGTACGGGAGCATATGAGGAAAGAAATTGAGGAGATGTTGCAGTTAGGGGTTATCGAACACTCCGATAGCCCCTGGGCATTGCCGGTAGTCCTGGTTCCCAAGAAAAACGGTACCACCCGGTTTCGTGTGGACTACCGGAGGCTGAACGACAAAACTGTGTTGGACGCCTACCCGATGCCCCGGATTGACGAACTGTTAGATAAGATGGCCAGAGGTCAGTATCTCACTACAATAGATCTTTGTAAGGGATACTGGCAAATTCCACTAGCCGAGGACGCCATTCCCAAGTCGGCGTTTGTCACCCCGTTTGGCTTGTACCAATTCCGAGTCATGCCATTCGGGATGAAGAACGCCCCCGCGACATTCCAGCGGATGGTGGATCGACTACTGGACGGGTTCCAGGATTATGCATGTGCATACCTGGATGATATTGCCATCTATGGCCAGACCTGGGCTGATCATCTACGCCACATAGGGGCCGTAATAGATCGGATTGGAGAGGCAGGGCTCACCTTAAAACCAAGCAAGTGCCACATAGGGATGGCGGAGGTACAATACTTAGGACACCGAGTGGGGAGCGGGCAACAGAAGCCTGAGCCCGCAAAGATTGAAGCCGTAGCCAAGTGGCCCACCCCAGGACTAAAACTCAAGTCCTTGCCTTCTTAGGTACCGCCGGGTATTATAGGAAGTTTGTGCCCAATTACAGTGCCCTGGCTAAGCCCCTGACTGACTTGACACGTAAAAACCTACCCAGACAGGTCATCTGGGCCCCAGAGTGTGAACAGGCATTTAACCAACTGAAGACGGCTCTGACCAATGCTCCTGTACTTGCTGCTCCTGATCCAACTAAACGTTTTCTTGTCCACACAGACGCCTCAATGTTTGGATTGGGAGCAGTACTGAGCCAGGTTGGAGCAGATGGCGGAGAACACCCCGTAGCATATTTGAGCCGGAAACTGTTACCCCGAGAAGTGAGCTACGCCGCCATCGAAAAAGATCCATCTTGGATCCTTTGTTCCCTCAGCGGTGTTTGGTCGTCGAGCGCATGGTACTAAAAACGGCTACTCGTCGGCACGAACACCGCTGAGCTTCCAGGCCGTTCGGGAGTTCCGGGCCGTTCGGTACTTTGTTCCCTGGAAGGCAATCGGTCATTTAAACATGTATTTTAATAAATGTGTTTTTCGTGCGGCGGTTGGTTGTTTTAGCTGGGATCTGAGCGGTAATCTCACGAATGATGCGCTCAGACCCCAGCTATCTACTGAATGTCCATTCGTGCAAATAGACCCTATATTCAAAGAGTTATACATTTTAATATAAATTGTCGGTTCTGCTGCATGGATGGATAATCCACTTAACGGTACATTCCTGTGGGAGGATCCCTCTCGTGCAGCAGTGCCTGATGGGAGAAATGTCTTGTACAATAAGTCCCCCATGTAGTCCACTCTGAGAATGCCCCTGGGAGGGGACTCAGGAAACCCCTTGCATGGGGACTTGTATAAATTGCGGAGCTGAAAATAAAGACCTCAGTTGACTCTCAGAACTGTGTTTTGTCCGGTTACTTGGGATATTGGCTTGCTTTTTCCAGCGCTTGACTGTGGATTACTTCCTGAACCAGCGGAATTCGTGGATTTAATATTGGCGTTACGCTACAATACCTTACTTGCCTTGGCCACTGCTGATTGACATTGCACATTGTTGCATAGTTTGTTGTCTATAACAATTCCCAAGTGTTAAGACACCTCCCGTGTCTTTAAGCCAAACCGCCGTTTAGTAAACCTTCCCCGGCTGCAGTACAGTCTCTGTTCGCTTACTCTGTAACCCACGAACCAAATGCAGGGGAAGCGGCAATCTCCCGATCGAAATCCACGAACGGCTCCAAACTCCCGAACGGCAATATACGAACTGCTAGGAACCGTCGAACAATAATATCTCCAAAGCGGCTTTCGTTCCATCCAGCAGTCTCTAACCGTGAAGAAGAAATCCCCCCAATAACGAGACAGAAGCTCCGCATTGAGGGTCAAATAAGATCTGGTTTTACTGTGGGCTACCTGCCCGTATTTATGCAGGTCTCCCACCTGGTGGACACTCCCCAAGGGGACCAAATGGAAGACTTAAATTACAGACAGATAGAAGGACATTTCTGACACACAGTCACATATCTTACCCACAGTGCATTCTGATTCCCTCCCCTCTGTCCTGGAGTTAATTACCAAGTAACTCAATTAACTCCAGGACAAGGACAGTCGCCATTTTAAACATAAAATAATAAAAGACATAAAATTGCATAACTACATGAAAACTGAACATTTCCCATTCGTATTACATGTCCCCAGATAGCCTGGATCTGAGTGCATATTATTGGCGAATAGCGCTCAGATCCCACACACATAGTTCAATCGCCATGGAGTCAAAGTTCTTACAGTCTTTCGGTATACGAATGACTCCATGGGAGGACTATCTGGGTTAAGTCTTTCGTATGCTCTCAATCTCCCGAACAGCCGGTGTTCGCATGCTTTCGTGGAGGCAGCCAGGCGTTCCCTTGTTTCAGCGGTGTTCGACAGAAAAAGTGTCCGTTTTCCGTTCCATAGAAATAGAGCCAAACACCGCTGAGCGTTCGCATGATTTAAAATGGCCGCTGCCTCGTGGTCGACATACGAACGACGACCACCCTGAGTTCGGTTTAATTGAGAAGTGTCTGCGGTTAACCACAACGTTATAATGGTGATCACTTCGTTAACCTGCAGCACACTCCTCACTTGGGTGGCCGTTCGTTCGGCGGTTTTGTTCGGGAAAAAGAGTCATTCGAATGGCTGGGCTATAGAAACCAGCCATTCATACGAACGGGGACAAACAGACGAACGGGCAAAAATCCAGCAGACAGATGGTTCTGTCACACGAAGTCCTTTTCGTGTGTTGTTATTCTAATTCGCTTCCATTAAGGATATACGTTGGATTTTTAGATAGCACTGGAGTGGACTGGGCACTCAAATGGCAGATATTACTTTGCTGCAAATTTAATGTTGAAAAATGCAAAGTTATGCACTTCGGCGTAAAGAATACACAAGCAACGTATACCCTTAATGGAAGCGAATTAGGGATAACAACACATGAAAAGGACTTGGGAATTGTTATAGACAGCAAACTATGCAACAATGTGCAATGTCAATCAGCAGTGGCCAAGGCCAGTAAGGTATTGTCATGCATGAAAAAGGGCATTCATTCTCGGGACGAGAATATCATTTTACCTCTTTATAAATCACTGGTAAGACCCCATATTGAATATGCTGTGCAATTTTGGGCACCTGTTCTAATAAAGGATATTATGGCACTAGAAAAAGTGCAGAGGCGGGCTACAAAATTAATAAAAGGAATGGAACATATCAGCTATGAAGAAAGGTTAACAAATTTAAACCTATTTAGTTTAGAAAAACGTCGCCTGAGAGGGGATATGATAACATTATACAAATATATCCGGGACCAATACAAACCATTGTGTGGAAATCTATTCACAAACCGGACTTTACATAGGACACGAGGCCATGCGTTTAGACTGGCAGAAAGAAGATTTCATCTAAGGCAAAGGAAAGGTTTTCAGGATGTGGAATTCTCTGCCTGAAGAAGTGGTTTTATCAGAGTCAAACAGCTACTAGATGCATACTTGCAAAAACAGAATATTCAAGGATATAATCTTTCAATGTAGGGTAATAACTGCTTGATCCAAGGATAAATCTGACTGCCATTCTGGGGTCAAGAAGGAATTTTTTTCCTAGCTTGTTGCAAAATTATGCTTCAAACTAGGTTTTTTTGCCTTCTTTTGGATCAACAGCAAAAAACAAATGTGAGGAAGGCTGAACTTGATGGACGCAAGTCTCTTTTCAGCTATGTAACTGTGTAACTATGTAACTATATGATCCCTTGCTGATTTTGAACAATATCCCACTGACAAAGAAATGACCAGTCTATAATTTTAATGGTAGGTGTATTTTAACAGTGAGAGACAGAATAACAAAAAAAAAAAAAAGAAAAACACAAGTCAAAAAAGTTATGAATTGATCTGCATGTCAATGAGTGAAATAAGTATTTGACCCCTTCGACTTAGTACTTGGTGGCAAAACCCTTGTTGGCAATCACTCCTTTGTGGCCTTGGCTGTGTGTTTTGGGTTATTGTCATGCTGGAATACCCATCCACAACCCATTTTCAATGTTCTGGCTGAGGGAAGGAGGTTCTCATCAAAGATTTGACGGTACATGGCCCTGTCCATGGTCCCTTTGATGCGGTGCAGTTGCCCTGTCCCCATAGCAGAAAAACACCCCCAAAGCATAATGTTTCCACCTCCATGTTTGATGGTGGTGATGGTGTTCTTGGGGTCATAGGCAGCATTCCTCTTCCTCCAAACACAGTGAGTTGAGTTAATGCCAAAGAGCTCAATTTTGGTCTACTCTGACCACAACACTTTCACCCAGTTCTCCTCTGAATAATTCAGATATTCACTGGCAAACTTCAGACGGGCCTGTACATGTGCTTTCTTGAGCAGGGGGACCTTGCTGGCGCTTCAGGATTTCAGTCCTTCACGGCGTAGTGTGTTACCAATTGTTTTCTTTGTGACTACGGTCCTAGCTGCCTTGAGATCATTAATAAGATCCTCCCGTGTAGTTCTGGTTTGATTCCTTACCATTCTTATGATCATTGAAACTCCACGGAGTGAGATCTTGCATGGAACACCAGACCGATTTTAGACTGACAGTTATTTTGTGTTTCTTCCATTAGCAAACAATCGCACCAACTGTTGTCACCTTCATACCAAGCTGCTTGGCGATGGTCTTGTAGCCCATTCCAGCCTTGTGTAGGTCTACAATCTTGTACCTGACATCCTTGGACAGCTCTTTGGTCTTTGCCATAGTGGAGCGTTTGGAATCTGATTGATTGCTTCTGTGGACAGGTGTTTTTTATATAGGCAACGAGCTGAGATTAGGAGCACTCCCTTTAAGAGAATGCTCCTAATCTCAGCTAGTTACCTGTATAAAAGACACCTTGGAGCCAGAAATCTTGCTATTGATAGGGGATCAAATACTTATTTCAGTCATTGACATGCAAATCAATTTATAACTTTTTTGACATGCGTTTTTATGTTTTTTTTGTTTTGTTATTCTGTCTCTCACTGTTAAAATACACCTACCATTAAAATTATAGACGGATCATTTCTTTGTCAATGGGCATCAAATACTTTTTTCCCCTCACTGTATCTGATCTGGATACAGTTGATCATACCAATGGCGACTACTCATTATATTAAGTATTTTGTTTATGTATACACTAAGTGTATATTTTTCATGATTTGTATTATCGTATATGCCTGCTATTTCCCTGACATTGGGTTTTCTTGGCGCGTATGCTAGGGAAATAGATCTGTTGGCCAAGCTCATTTCTACCTGTGAAGCATAACAGAGAATATTACAGATCTTTAAACTGATTTCTGAGTGTAACTGATTTTAGTAGTGGTGCAAAAATGTATGACAGTTATTGAAACAATGTGATATTGCCAGGCAGAGAGAAGACATGACAGATGAGGCATGCAGACATTACGTACAACATATTTCACTATTCCTGCACAAAATGGACTGAGGACTTAGTTATTTATTTGAGAAAGCATACAAATCTGAGCTTTTAACAAGTCACACATCAATTACATAGGTCTGCAAGAGAAACATAATATAAACAAAACCAATCTTAAGAAAAGCTTAAAATATATATCCTCTTTTTTTTATTATGAGCTATGTTACAAAAAGTACACTAATTTAGCTTTCTGCTTTAGCCTTAAGACCTTATTAATTTTTTGGCTAAGCACCCTATACTTATAATGCAGTGATATTAGGTTCTGCATCATGCAGTTGAAACTCTTCACCATTTTCTTCATCATTATTATAATCATCATCTTGAATTTCTTCATATTGATTTTCTTCATCTTGATTTTCTTCATTTTGATTTTCTTCATCTTGACTGTGTCTGTCAGAAATATTCATGTCTTCCTCTTCTCCCCCATTCCATCGACTCACCAATCCTTGCATCGTTGTCTGTGCCCTATGCCATAATTCACGTGGATGGTATCCTTCTCCTCCCTCAATGCGCACAAGTCTCCTCCAGGCCAGTGCAAGTGCAAAACAGATCACAATGAGTAGAATAACGAGGAACACAACAGTCACTGTACTACTAGCCTCTTCCTCTCCTTTTTGATTTGATTTTGCTTGCATGGTCGGCAAATCCAGGAGCAGATGGAGCATCAGGTGAATAAGGGGCAACATCTGTTGACAACAGAGATTACACAGTCAAGCATTAAACAATAAAATTTCTAGTTTCCTTTTTAACCTTACTCTTCATGATTCCAATGAACAGCTATTGGTATATGATAAACAATAATATAATAATATAATAGGTATAGCTGAAACATGATGGGATGAATATTTGTGCAGTTAATTTAAATTAAATTAACTTAAATTGACAGAAAGATAGAAAAATTGCCTTGCATCAGTATGCACCCCCTAAAATGTTTCCACAAATGTTACAGCCTTGAATTAAAATAGATTTTTATTGGTATTTTTACTATCTTATTTATTTAAAATATCTAATATTTTGAAGATGCAAAATATTCTTTATTATAATATACGTTATGAAACAAAAGAAATTATATTTTTTCCACCCTCTTTTTGTTGTGAAACTCCTAAATAAACTGGTGCTACTTCATCATTCACAAAACTGGTTGAATTTGAGTGGCGCCACTTTTGTGCAAATAAGGTGTTGCATGATCTTAAAATAAATATTTCTTGAAGGCCCAGAGTCTGTTAGCGACTATCAGGAATATTCATAAGTGAGAATTTAAAGTGATTATTATTATTATTATTTCATTATTATTTATATAGCGCCAGCAAATTCCGTAGAGCTGTACAATTAATAATAGTTGAACTGAGAAAATTCTCTATGTCAGCTAAGCTTCGAGCTGAGCTTTGGCCTTACCAAATTTTCTTTGTTTAAATAAAATCATCATAAAACAAAGGAGCTGTCACTTGAATTACAAGATAAAGTGCCCCAGACGTCCCTAGAAGCACTATTACTAAAGAATGCACACACCATTAAAATTTCGCTCTCCCAGCTTTACTTATGTGCAAATATAAGTATTTTTAATCCTATTATTCATATGACTGAGAAAGATAGTACTGTAGCACTATGACAAATTCAGGCAAAATAGATGATCAGATTGATGTTAGGAAGAGAAACTGGGCAGCCTCTGTCACCTAGTGGCCAAGTTATCTGTGAAACAGTGATAAATACATTAGAGAAGCTTTATCAAACTTCCTTTCTTACAAAATAAAAGTATCTACAGTACTAAAAGGGAAGCAAAAACATTATGGTTTCGGTCCCTGTCAAGGGTGCATCACGGAGCCAAAACAGACAGTTAATTTAATTTTAGCACTAAAAGAGTTGGTTTCACTTGAGCTTCTTTCCCTGTTACCGTTACAAAAAGTTTGTTCCTTGTACTAAACTTATACTAAGCATTGATTATGTCGACCTTTAAGGAGGCAGTTCTCAAAGGTTGCGGTTCACTTTATTTGAGGTTTCTAGATATACATATATATTAGAAGTATTACTTATCTTTCTTTCCTCTTCATATGAGTATTGAGGGATTGCTATGTTACTTCTTGTAAACTGCAATAATGCTTTGCAACATTGTAAACCTTCTTTTTTTGTGCTTGTTTCTGCTTCTTATACCATGGCTTCAGGTTCCTTAGCTGATTATGTAGGTAAATGTAAAAAGTGTGAATGTCCCCCATGCTTACAGTGGAAGGGTAGTGGATATAGAAGTAGAGAGGTTACCGAGTATGGTATTATTGGGCAGACTTATCATCTCTTAAACAGATATACAGTGTCTCACAAAAGTGAGTACACCCCTCACATTTTTGTAAATATTATATTATATCTTTTCATGTGACAGCACCGAAGAAATACAAAAAGTAAAGTCCTGCGCTCGTTGTTGCTGCCACCCAGGAGTGATGGGAGTGAGTGCAGGACTTTTCTTTTTGTATTTGTATTCACTTTTTGTATCACACAGCTAGGTTACAATGCTGCCGCCCATCCCAAGTGTTCCCTATTAAGGGATCATAAGTGTATAGGGGTGTATATAAAAAATACCCCTTTCTGACTCAGTAGAGATATCTTTGCCAGAAGCTCAATAAAGCAGGGTGAAGGGTCAGAGTAGGACCCATCTAGGGGGGTTTGCCTTGACGTTAGCAGGCGGCATTCCCTCCAGTGGCCATTGAAGTAACTAAATGACCTCCATGTGTTTAATATACATAGGGATTAAAGAGAGAGTTGAGGTAACCTTTTTTTTCTTTAGCACTGAAGAAATGACACTCTGCTTCAATGTAAAGAAGTAAGTGTACAGCCTGTATAACCTCTATATGTAAAGTTGCTGTCCCCTCAAAATAACTCAACACACATTGAGCCATTAATGTCTGAAACATTGGCAGCAAAAGTGAGTACACCATAAGTGGAAATGTTCAAATTGGGCCCAATTAGCCATTTTCCCTCCCCGGTGTCAAGTGACTTGTTCGTTTTACAAGGTCTCAGGTGTGAATGAGGAGCAGGTGTGTTAAATTTGGTGTTATCGCTCTCATACTGGTCACTGGAAGTTGAACATGGCACCTCATGGCAAAGAACTCTCTGAGGATTAGAAAAAAAGAATTGTTGCTCTACATAAAGATGGCCTAGACTAAAGGAAGATTGCCAAGACCCTGAAACTGAGCTGCAGCATAGTGGGCAAGACCATACAGCAGTTTCACAGGACCGATTCCACTCAGAACAGGCCTCGATATGGTTGACCAAAGAAGTTTAGTGCACATGCTCAGCGTCATATCCAGGTTGTCTTTGGGAAATAGACGTATGAGTGCTGCCAGCATTGCTACAGAGGTTGAAAGGGTGGGAGGTCAGCCTGTCAGTGATCAGACCATACACAGCACACTGCATCAAATTGGTTTGCATGGCTGTTGTCCCAGAAGTCAGCCTCTTCTAAAGCTGATGCACAAGAAAGCCTGCAAACAGTTTGCTGAAGACAAGCAGACTAAGGAAATTATTAGTGGAACTTTGTACTTACTGGTCAGATGAGACCAAGATAAACTTTTTTGGTTCAGATGGTGTCAAGCTTGTGTGGCGGCAACCTTCAGTCAAGCGTGGTGGGAGTTTCATGGTCTGGGCCTGCATGAGAGCTGCCGGCACTCGGGAGCTACAGTACAGTTAAGGGAACCATGAATACCAACATGTATTGTGACATACTGAAGCAGAGCATGATCCCCTTCCTTCGGAGACTGGGCCGCAGGGCAGTATTCCAACATGATAACGACCCCAAACAGACCTCCAAGACGACCACTGCCTTACTAAAGAAGCTGAAGGTAAAGGTGATGGACTTGCCAACCATGTCTCCAGACCTAAACCCTATTGAGCTTCTCTGGGGAATCCTCAAATGGAAGGTGGGGGAACGCAAGGTCTCTAACATCCACCAGCTCCGTGATGTCCGTGATTGAAGGGATACATATTTAGCCTCTGCACATTTATTCTCTCCTTTTTCCAACATTTTGATATAAAAAAAAAAAATTAAAAATTTTTTTTTTTGAATGACAGATATCACCATGTAGACTTAGAGAATACAATATGAGGCATGCCAACATATAATATACAATATGTAGGTATAGTACAATAATGAATATAAATAGCAAGCAAACTCATTGTACTACTGTGTGGCCCTGTTATAATGAGCTGTCTTGTATCTTATATATATTCTAAGTAAATAAAATAAACATAATTAAATTTGAAGAAGAACAAAGCTTTATATTTATAGGCAGCAATTGTTTCTCACATAGGAAATAGCATAATGTACATTGAGGAGCCAATTTCCTTATATAAAAAACCAGTAAAAAAAAATATCTTTCATCAGCTTGTATCTGTTTCTCTTGATATATGATAGAGTAGAAAGGATAGAAGAGAAGAAAATTTAAGATAGAGGTGTAGGGTTATAGGGTTGCCGGTAGAAGCACAGTTGTGTGTGAATATCAGGGTTTGGGGAG